TCGAGAAACTTTCTCCTCCATTAGTGTTAGTTCTTCGAGCTATATGGCCAACCCATTGCCACTTCATCTGCAGAGTTGTGTTGGGGCTTGGAGTCCCATATACATATATATACAGTCATAAGAAAGTAATATCTATGAAATAAAGTAAATATGTACCTAGAAGGTCTCAAATATGTAACTTCTGATAGAAATGGGACTTGAAAAGTAGTATTATAGTTTCGTACGTGGTAGAGCCACGCTGCAGTTATCATGGTTGTAGCATGAATGGGACGGCTCGACCGGGGAAGGACCACGCTCTCACAGAATACCGGTGCAAAATAGCAGCTTAATACTGCTTTGTTTTGTATGCTGAGTGTAGAGAACAGGAGACCCGTCTTACAGGAATCGAGGCATTTCATCTTAGTCCTCAATGGTGACAACCACAGAAATAGTCATAGAATACTATAATACATACATAATAGAACGGGGGAGTGGGCGGAGCCCGTGTAGCCACTAAAATGTCACTAACACGTATAAATGTCAACACGAAATGCGTTTGGACGTTACAATCGTTTCCAAATTTCGCATGCAAATTATTTAGTAAATGCCAAATTGCACACTATTTACAAATAAATATGAAATAAAATTTAAATGATTTTTTTTAATGATGATCTTGAACATTAATCAAAGTCTAACATGTTTAAATTTACTCAGTCTGTCAACATAGCGAATCGGGTTTGTACAAAATAAGGTTGACAGCCATTCTATTGTGTATTATAGTATTCTATGGAAATAGTAATAATAAATTCCTGTGGTGACAACGCATCTGCATTTTGATTCTTAATCGAGGTTAAATGCAGATGTCTATGGGCCACAGCATCCACTTACCATCAGGTGAACTGCGTGCTCGTTCGTCACCTTTATCCGCTAAAAAAAAACGTGACCGAGACCGCTATATACTGGAATCGATAACCGATATGTCCTAGACATACCTATCATCTTAGTGCCGGTGGTGAGTGGGTTTGTTTTAGTAATATGGGGATATAATTGGAATACTTGCCATAGTTGCCAAACGTCGCGGGCGGGTTGGTAATCACATTATTTTATTTTATGGTAATTATTGGGAAGACACTGCTGCCCATCTCCTGCTTTGTTATTCTCCCTCTTACAGCACCCGCGGGACGATATGGAGTAGAGGATATTCTTACACCTCCACTACAAGTCTCATTTCGTTTACACCAAAAACTCTACGCTTCAACTGTATTATGGTTGCAGCCCAATTGATCGGTTCGTTCCGGAAAGCTCCACTCTCTCACAAAATACCAGCGTAAAATAGCATCCTTATGCTGCTGTATTTCTTATGGTGGATGTAGAGAGCCTGAGACCCTTTTTACTGATACCAAGGCATTCTACTGGACGACCTCTTTTACAGTCTGGAAAAAATAGGGTGTAACATGTGCATTGTGCACGGAGTGGAAGCCTATGGCACTGATATTTTACAAAATATATATATTGATTAAAACTACTTTTACTGATTTTATCGCGTTTTATATATATATTATTTTTAATACCCGACGTTTCAGATGCTTTCCAGCACCCATGGTCACGGGGGACTGAGGCGATTGACTTAATTCAAAATTTTTGTTTTTATTATATATATATATATATATATATATATATATATATATATATATATATGTATATAATAAAAACAAAAATGTTGAATTATCGTTTGAATTTTTTTACGAACAATTACTTTGCCCTTGAGCCTGTGACCCTGCGAAGTGACAAGGTCAAAAATGCCTACTAAATTTATTGTTTTACTGCCGTTTGTAAAGTATGGTGGATACGATTTTAATTAATTAATTTATTTAATTAAAAAAATTTATGAAATGTCAGTGCCATAGGCACGGTAATATTATCTATAAATATTACCGTGCCATAGGCTTCTACTCCGTTCACATGTTTTACACCCTATTTTGTCCCAGACGGTAGAAAAGGTCATTACACCAGGTCAGGTCAGTACATCATTAACAGGGGTGACTACGCATATAAGTACATACATAATCGAGGGTAGATGTAGATGTTTGTGTGCCACAGCATTCGCTTACCATCACGTTGACTGTATGCTCGTTTATCACCCTTATTCTATAAAAAATGTCTTTTCGTTATATTACGCCTGTACAGTGAACTTATTTCCCTTGTTTTTATCATCTGTGAATTGTAATTTTATGCATCGTTGCATTATAAGTTATTGTTATATATGTTTTGAGCTTAAGTATTCCAAGTGCTGCAGGCTGTAAGAAAATACTGTCCACAGCCACTCTTGCACCAACAGTGTAACACAGGTATAACAATGCCGTATAGTTGCCTCATATAGTTTTTTTTTTAAATATTAATCATAGATTCAATAGAGGATATGTAGTGCATAATTTACGCCATTTGTTTGTAAGAATTATTATTATTTATGGGAAATAAAACAATTTTTTTCAATAATCTCATATATTTAAACACATTCATTATTAGAAGTATATCTCCAAACATAACTCGCCAAAATGACGTAAATGTTTATCATCACATGCAAAAATAGGTTCTAAAATCTATAGGTGCCTGACATTTCTCATTTTAATTTACCTTACATTAATATAATGCCGTAAATTAAAACTGAGTTTTCATTTGTTTATATCGTAGTTTTTTTATGAAATAATTCTTCAGACAGTCTCGCCATGATTGCACTTGCAATTTTAAGTGCTGATTTACCCCGGGCTCGACGGAAAAGGAATACATCGTGAGGTCCGCCATGACACGTGAAATATGAAGTCCGCCAAACGCGCCAACACACACACACACACAGAGCTAGTGAGCTAGCCAGAGAGCTAGGGTTGCCAGAACAATCTCAAATAGCTGGACACAATAATAATTAGTACTGTATTATTGACCAGAAAGCAGAGAGCATACATAAGCAAGCTAAGTTTATTTCAACTCGAAGACAGAAACATGTTATGTATTATTACGTAATACCTTACGTAGTATTATACTGGATGACTTTTTTAACGTCTGGAAAAAATAGGGTGTAACATGTGAACGGAGTAGAAGCATATGGTACTGATATTTTACAAAAAATAAAAACAAACACAACACAAGCAATTTAAGCTTACCACGAGTAGTTAAGGGGAATATTAGTAATGTTTATAGCATTGTTAATATTCTTTATAATAAAAAAATAAAAAAAAATCATTTATTTAGTTTATAGATCAAGAGCAAGAAGTTACTAATGTAATATGTATTACTAATGTTTTAATAAACAAAAAACAAATAACATTGCAGCCTGTCACATGTCCACAGATGGGCACAAGTTTACCCCACGGACAGACAAAAAGCAAGAGCTTTATACACCATCTGTGAGATTATCAATCGCCCGCCAAGTGCGACGCATACGACACCTTACTACGTGTTTTACCACGAGTATGGCGGTGAAGGAAAACATCGTGAGGAACACAGCATGTATGAGGCATAAAAAAACTTAAGGCGTTACTTTGCGGAAATCCCTTAATTAAAGATTTTAAAAAATAGTTAGCCAAGATCCGTGTTAGACATGTATCATTCATTCATTTCAAGTGATCCAATCACTTAAGTATTGATTCGTTTTACGAACCGGGTCATTCGAGTCGACCATTCAAATGGATCATTTCGAATTTCAGTCCTCTGTGATCCTATTCCATAATGTTTGTCGTTGGATATTTGGTCTTTGGTCGTAGGTCCTGTCAATCGTTCGATCCGGATCGTTTAAAAAAATGTTATCGCAATCATCAATACTTTAATGCGATCCAGGTCTAATTAACGAATCGTAAACGGTTGACAGACACATGTCGAATCCGCGTTGTAAAATTCCAATTAGTACTTAAGATAAACGGGGTTACGAGGTTTGAAGTTTAACGATTAATTTTTAACACCTTTAATTATTAAAAAATCTAAATTATGTAACGCAAAAGAGCAGCGCAACTGATATTTCCTTGGCCTAAAACCCTCTAAAAGTAAATGTCTGTGTCCAGCATCAAGTCGTACAACTACTTCTAGCAGTCGATTATCGAAGGCGTCTAGGGACAATAGTGCCGTACGGTGCGTGGCGAGACGTGGGCGAAGCTCTCGCAAGCGGTAGTTAGTCGCTCGGGAGCTGCCCGCTAAGGATTTCCTGTCTCGCAAATAAAATGGTTCACATTACACGTGCGGTAAAAACAAACAAAAAAACAAACGATAATTCAAACGTTCTGACAACCCTAGCAATTCATTTTTATGTCGACTTTTCCGGCAACATCAAACGCGATAACTGACTTCTTCGGCTGTGACTGTACTTTATTTTTAAGCACGTAGCAGCTGAGTAACCAACAGCACTTTCGGCCACGGTAATCTATAGATGCTATCGGAAACCACCTTTACCAAAACACAACATGGTATCCAATATTGGTCAATCGTGCCTCTGAAAACACTGGTTCATTTGTTCAGACCAGTAGCAAACAGTATGTTTATGGACTTTCAGATTACAGGACCCGCGATTTAAAGCTGCGCCGTCTGAATTGGCCTTAAGACTTCATTTCCAATTTCTATTAAAGATCAGTACTCAAGCCCATTGTAGGTCCGATCCCTAAGATGGCATTAGATATTTTTATTTTAAAGATGGAATTAGATACTATAGTTTAGTTATACAACGTAAAAAATATTTTTAGATTTTGTTTCAACGTTAAAAATATTGTTTATTGTAAATAACGGAAACAATTCCTAACTCTAGGTGTTTCAACAGTTTTTTTTACTTTATTTATGGTAGGCAACATTGTAGTAACGAATTCTGCCAATGTCAAGTCTATTTTTTTTTCTTCGATAAAAAACTCGTACGATTTTAAGTCTGCCAGCATCAAGTACCGTTGCGATTACAGTCTATTAAAGTTCACTGCCGAACATAACATTTAATACACAATATCGCACCACTTTTACGTATAGAGTCAAGTCCCCGCCAAAACCTCGCTTCAACAGTTATTCACCGTCACATCCTGCGTCACTGGACTGGTAACAGTGATTTTTGGCATATCCCTATTATCCTGCGTTAGCGGATCATTTTTCACTTCACAGTTTGTGACTGTGACTGTTTCTTTATTAACTTCACTACTACTTGTCGGAACAGTTACGATATAACCCGTGCCAGGCACAGCGTTAACAGTCTGTATCGCGACCGGCACACCTTCAAGAATCACTTTGTTTTCTACCGGCGTTTCGGAGGGTAGTTTTAGTTTTGCGGTCATTATCAAGTTTATGATATCCATTTGTAGTTTCGTGCAGACGTCTTTCGGCATTTTTTTAAGGAGGCAAGTAATGTAAGTGCCGAATTTTTCTATTTGATCATCATCATCATCTTGATTATTGATTTTCTTGTTTCGGAGCGGATAATCGTCGGATGAACTGCTTTTTCGTCTCTTTACCTTCTTTAAAATAGGGGTGGGGTGGGGTGTCTTGACAGAATGCCGTCTTTTCATAATGACCTGCGCATCACGTTTGGGTGTCTTCCTGGTGTCGTCTTCTAGGTACACCACTTCAGTGTAGGTGTCATTACTTTGATCTTCCTCGTTTTCGGATTCATCGTCGAAGTCCTAGAATAGAAGTGAATGTTAATTTGTGTACTAAATTCATCGCACTATTCTTGACACAGTGAAATTCAATGCAAAGAAACTCTCAGAATATCATCGTAAAATAGCAGCTTAATACTGCCGTGTTTCGTATGGTGAGTGAAGAGAATCGAAAACGAAGAATTCTGCCCTAGTTCTACTCCATTCAAGATTGATCATACACTTTACTGGCGAGACAAATGATGTGTCTTTAAATCGAACAGCGCCATCTACATTTCCTTACAGTTACTAATTAATTTACTTAGTCTTAAACACTTGCGCACACATTAGTGCACTATATCCTTGTGTTGCACTTGTCTATCTATCGCTAGTCTCTGTTAAGACCGGTCTGACCGATATTCGGTCTTGAGGAAATAATTACTCACCTGTGCAAGTTTCGGATGATTCTCTTTTAAATGGTGTTTGAGTTCTTTGGCACGGTGCGGTAAAGTGGCTCGACATACTACGCAGCGCGCCCTCCCACCAGTCTCCTGCTCGAAGAAGCTCCACACATCTGGCGCTGAGGCGGACTGATTGGATTCATCGTCTGTCCGAAGAAAGAAATACGCATCAATACAAGTTTTGTACGTGGTAGAGCCACGCTAAAGACATATTAAGACGGTTGTGGCACGAATAGGTCGGCTCGGCCGGGGAAGGACCACTCACAGAATACCAGCGTAAAATAGCAGTTTATTCTATGCTATTGTGAGCGTAGAGAACCATTTCCCAGAAACGAGGAATTATATCTTAGTCTCCGGGGTAACAACACGCATCTACGTTTTGATTCTTAAACGAGGATAAGTACAGATATTATCTTACGAGGAGGTAAAAGTTGTTTAGATGAAATCACATCATGCTAAAGTGAACAGGGTATAGCAATTAGCTATTAATAAATAACTAAAAAATATCGGAGTCTTCACCATATTTTTATTTATCTGAAAGGCAAGATTCCTCACCAAGTTTTCTCTCACTGCTAAGCACGTGGTAAATCAGCATTCAAATGTGTCAAGGGGAGCGAACCCAGGTCACACGCGTTCTGTGAAAATCAAACTAAGTACCCCTTTTCTCAGTAACTCTCTTTATAGAATGGGAGTAACAAACGAGCACACAGTCCATTTAATGCACGGTCCATGGCAAATGGATACTCTGGCCTATAGACATCTACATCTATCCTCGATTAAGAATCAAAATGCAGTTGCGTTGTCACTCACGAGGACTACGATGGAATGCCTGCCAGTATTATAACATACATCTATACATGACAACCTAGAGCCAAGTGCTGCAGTTATGTATTAGTAGTATAGACGAATTAGTTGTAGCACGAATGGGTCGGTTCGACCGGGGAAGACCACGCTCTCACAGAATACCAGCGTAAAATAGTAGCTTAATGCTACTTTGTTTCGTATGGGGAGTGTAAAGAACCGGAGACCCTTTTTACTGGAAACTGGCAGGCATTCCATCTTAGTCCTCACGGGTGACAACGCATCTGCATTTTGATTCGTAATCGAGGATAGATGTAGGTGTCTATGGGTCACAGCAACCACTTACCATCAGGTGGACTGTGTGCTCATTTGTCACCCTATAAAAAAACTACTAGCTGACCTGGCATTGTTCTGCCCTTTCAGCTAACGAAGAGTTTCATTTTCACACACTTTTCTATAAACTTATTTTTAAAAAATAATAATAATAAATTTATTTATTGAATAAAACCATATTGACACTACAAAGTTGAAGCCCTGACTCCCGAAACTTAAAAAAAAGAGACAAAAATAACCCTCTTTTACTCTTCCGCTTATACACGATCACTTACTGCCTACCTACCAAATTTCATAATAATCCATCCAGCAGTTTCCGCGTGAAACGTGAACACAAAATTTTTCTACAGATTTTAAAAAGAGCTTTAAAAAAAGGATTTTTAATATAATGAAAAAAAAAGAAAACCCCCCCAAAATAAAAAAAAAAAATATATATATATATATATATATATATATATATATATATATATATATATCATACATAGATAGCAACATCAGCAGTCATTATGACAGTAAACTTAAAAGAAAAGAAAAAATATAACCCTTCTTTATGCTCTTTCGTAAGCGCATAAATAGGTGCCTACCTATATATTATACACGTTCATTTATTGTCTACGTACCAAATTTAATGAGAATCTATCCAGTAGTTTCCGCGTGAAACGTGAACACACAATTTTTTTACAGACTTATTATATGTAGGTATATGTACCTATACAGATATTACCGAATGACCTTTTTTACCGTCTGGAAAAACATAGATCATGTGAACGGAGTAGAAGCTTATGGCACTGATATTTTACAAAAAATAAAAACAAACATCTTGAATTAAATACATTAATTAATTAAAATCTGTCGAAATTCGACAATAAAACAATAAATTTAGTAGGCATCGTTTACCTTCTCATTTGACACGTCACTTCGCAGGGTCACAGGCATATGATTTAAATTTCGATAAATTTTAATCAATTTATTAATTTAATAAAAAATGTTTGTTCTTATTTTTTTGGTAAATATCAGTGCCATAGGTAAACTTCGTTCACATGTTACAACCTATTTTTTCCAGACGGTAAAAAAAGGTCATCATGTATAGATAAAGATAAATATATAATATTCGAAACTACTGAAGAATGTGGCTAGAAACTGCATTATACTGGCTTAAATCGTCCAAAAAAAATTAAAGCGGTGCGCGTATTGAGTCAAAATAGCACCTTACGTCCGCATGACAGTTTTTTTTTATATGGCAACCTAACAATTACTGCCAACCTCCAGTCAATAAAAATACTTGTAACTTGAAACGAAACGACGGACAATCTAAAGAGAAACTACGATTCTGATTAAAAACCAAAATCATAATGTTAAGAACCATAGAATACTATAATAATGAATCATGAAATGACTTGTACTGAAGTATATTAAATAAATGATGGTTGTTAGGTTGAATTAAAATAATACTAAACTCAATACCACATTAAAAATAATAAGTATTAATAAATAAAGACGATTGATAGCTAAATAATGAATAAAATTTTATAATCTAATATTATTTAAATCTAAAAATTCCATAAGAAAATTGAAAACATTTTTTAGAAAAAACTAAAAGAGAACAAATTTCTGTAGGAAGAGGAATTTTAAGATTTACCAAAGTGTTAAATAATGAAGTATGATCATATAAAGGACACGAGAAGAAAATATGGTTGAGGTCACCAATATCCAAACCGCATTCACATATTGAAGAATTTTTAATATGAAGCCTAGCAAGGTGAACCGAATTACAGCAGTGACCCAAGCGCATTCTACATAACATTGATGTATGTTTCTTATAGGATAATTTATAAAACCAAGGCTTAGAAGGAATGATGTGTTGAATTTTGGCATAGTGACACCCTTTTGTCGTTTTGGTTTTGTTCCAATGTTTTGACCATCTATCTCTATATACTAATTTCGTAGTTCTTATAAGGTCATAGCAATATTTTTTAAATAAGAAAGTATCCCCACAGACTATAGTTTGTTTAGCAAGTTTGTCAGCATATTCATTACCAGATATACCATTATGACTCGGAATCCAAACGAGAGAAATGTTGATGTTTTGGAATTGGTATAAGAATAGAAGTTTCTTAATTTCAAATATCAAAGGATTGCGGAAAATGTCATAAAAAGGATTACATAACAATGCTTGTAAAGAACTAAGAGAATCTGAAAATATAACGCTTGATTTTAATTTAAAAACATAGCAATATTTTATTGATTGTAAAATGGCTAACATTTCTCCAGTAAAAACTGAAGATTCGGGAGGACTTTTCATTTTTTGAACTATTCTCCAATTTTGATGGTATATTGCATATCCAGTACAACCTTTTGAGTTAATCTTAGAAGCATCTGTAAAAATATAATGACAATCTGGGAAATTCTTGTCCAACGTAAATACAAATCTTTTATTTGATTCAATAGAAAATTTATTTAATTCTATATCTAATATAACATTGGGTTTGAAAAGTGCAACTTCAAACGAATTGGAGAAAAGAGGCAGAGTAGCCGACCTATAAATAGGATCTAGTAAGGAATTATAATGTTCATAGCTTTTAACTAGGTTAGAAGTTTCTTTATTACGCCAGTATTTTCTTGAATTAATTGAAATGTACTGAGAAAGCAAACGAATTTTAGGGAATAATGGATGGTTTGAAAATTGAAGAACCCGATAAAAAAAAGGAATCCGATAAATATTGTCGTCTAATAAAAAGTGGAGGATCACCGCATTCAATCTGTAAGGCATTGATAGGCGACGAATTCATAGCACCTATAATTAATCTTAAAGACTTGTGTTAAATGATATCCAATATTTTTAATCCTTTTTACTAGCTGGTTCAAGAAGAAATGAGGCATAATCTAATCGGCTTCTTATAATTGCATTATAAACTAATTTTAAATAATATGGATGAGCGCCCCACCATACCCCTACCCCTACAAAGCTCTAAGAATGTTTATATTTTTTCGTTTTTTTTTTTGGGTATAAATTATATGAGGCATGCCGGATAATTTGTTATCAAGAATTACACCAAGGAATTTAACTTGTTGAATATTTACGAGCGGATAATCAAAAAGGCGAACTTGGATTTCAGGTAAAACTCTTTTGCGCGAAAAAATTACTGTATTAATTTTATTTGGGGAAAGTTCTAGTCCATGATCATCTAACCAAGAGGCCATAGAGAGGAGATCTTGTTCTATCGCATTAGCACAAGATTCTATACATTTATCATTAACATAAACTAAGATATCATCAGCATATTGCAAAATTCTACACTTTGAAATAGACTGGTCCAAATCTGACGTATAAATATTGTATAATAAAGGACTTAAAACAGAGCCTTGTGGAAGGCCTTTGAAAACCTTTCGAGTATATTTTAGATCATCATCAATTTTAATATGTATATATCGATCTAGAAATAAATTGATAATCAAATTTGTAAGTTTTTTGGATATATTAAGCTTAAACATCTTTTCTCTAAGGATGTTGAGTCTGACATTATCGTAAGCAGAAGAAATGTCAAGGAAAGCAGCAAGGACCGATTCATTTCTCGAAAATGCTAGTCTAATATCTGTGGTGGAGATAGAAAGACTGTCATATGTACTTTTACCTTTTCTGAAACCATATTGGGTATTTGATAACAATCCATGACTTTCTACTTACCATTCAAGACGGTTCTTGATCATATGTTCAAAGGTTTTAATTAGAGTTGAGGATAGAGCGATCGGTCTATAAGAAGAGCCGTCGTTAGGATTTTTGTCAGGTTTCAAGATAGGAATAAATACTTGAGTCCGCCAATAGTCAGGAACAAAGCCTATGTCAAACAAAACGTTAATGATATTTAAATAGTAGGATAAAATTTGATCATTACTTTTGACAAGTAGTGAATATGGAATACCGTCTAAGCCAGGAGCTGAATCTTGAAGGTGAGAAAGGTTCCAAGGGATCAAAAAAAGAATCACATGGAATACTTTGAGGTAGCTCCTCTCTCAAAGGAGCAGAAGAGGGGGCAAGTTTATCTAGAAAAGTGTTTATAGATTGAGAGGGAATAGCACCACTGTAAGAACAAGACGAAAAACAACAGCGAAATTTTCTAATATTACGCCAAACAACTGATGAAGGAGTTGAAGGAGAAATTGAGGAACAAAATGCATGCGAACTTGTTTGTTTTTTTGTGCGAAGAGTATTTTTAGTCACTTCTTGTACACGTTGAAGATATGAATAGCTTTCCGAACTCATGTTTAATTTATATTGTTTTTCGGCTTTTTTCCTATTACGAATGGCCTCAGTACATTCAGAATCCCACCATGGAGGGGAGGGATTACATTTATTATTTAGAGTTTTAACAGGAATTGTTTGATCTGCTGCATTTATAACTGCGTTTGTAAATGCTTCAACAACAGAAGTTATATTATTTTCAGAAATAGGAGCGATTTTTAGAATTTCATTGTAAAGAAAAATATTGTACAGGTTCCAGACTGCTCTGTCTAATTTGTATTTAATACATGGTTTTTTGTTAATTTCTGCCAATTCTTTGTTTGGAAAGGAAATCAGAATGGGAAAATGGTCACTGCCGTGAGAGCTATCTAGAACTGACCAATTTAGAAGAGTGGTAGAGAGTAGTAGTAGTAGTAGTAGTACTTTAGTTTCAGGAATACAAATTGATAAATCTACAGCACTTCTAGACTCATTAGGACGAGAGC